CTCTCTTCTTTCTATAATCTATCCTGTCTAATCATCAAAACCATAAATCATAAGTTTATTTCTTTCTGTTTTATGTAAAAAGTCCATAAGAGTCGTTTCACGAGATGAGCGGTGACAAATTTGATGAATGAATGGATGGATGGATGAACAAATAAATAAATAAATAAATAAATAAACTAGGGGGTTCCAGTCAGCAATAAACATACATTTTCCCCAATATTTTCTATGAGAATGTGCAAAGTAACACAGAAACTTTTTCAGCTAAGCACAATAATAGTCTATGGCTTAGTATGATATGCTTATCTCAGCTTATTCTCTCTCTCTCTCTCTCTCTCTCACACACACACACACATACACACTCACATGTGCACACATATGTACTCACATCCCTTTTGCACAACAATCTACAGTATCACACATTCCCTTGCAAGAGTTACTGCCTGCTCCTGACTTCCTTTGGTATAGATACAGCACTTTCTAAAGGACATTTCTGTAAATATAATATATTCAGTCACTGTAAGTGCTCTGGGTGAATCCATGGCCGTGAGACCTTCCTTCCCTCACCACCACCACCACCTCCTTGTTAAAGGTTAATATCATGCATTTCTGAAAATCTGTAGACTCTCTTGCTTGTGGACTGCTCATTATGAGATAATTGTCTCGAAGATTTGCTGAAAGTGCTTAAATATTAAAAACATGCCCCATATAAGCAAGCAGTTTCCAGGATTTGAACATAAATGCTCAAAAATATAGGTTAACTGATAATGGAGACTAAACATTAAAGATTAAAAGTTATGAAAAGTATCCAAAATACAGACCTCCCATACCACATACCTTGTTTTGCATTTATTAAGTATATACCTTAATTAAACAACAGGGAAATCATAATGTAGATAAAAATTGCTGTCAGGAGACCATGGTCTGGGCAAGTCACCTCCAATTTTGAAATCATTCCATCTATTTCTGATGTTCGGTCTCTGGGAGCCATGTCCTATGTAGTAAAAAAATGAAATATTTACAGATGAATGGAAAGATTAGCAGGTAAAGTTTGCAAAAGGAGAAGAAAATATTGAGAGAAAGAAAAGGGTGGGGCATTGTAATGAGGACTGAGGAGGTTCACTGGCCCCGAAATGCTAAGAAAAAGAACAAGTGGACCAGCAGCAGGATTCCACATAGCAGCTTTCTGCAATACAACTCAAATTCAGAAACAGAATCACATGGACATATAAAGGTGCCTTGTGCTCTCGGTCACGACCATTGGCCTAATTATAGTCAACTGGTCAGCCGTGATTCTCAAGACTACATGAACAGTAATCAAATGGTAGGCATAATTACTTTGCATAATTATTTCTGGCTTTCTCACCTTTGAGGTCCTTTCGTGGTTGTGCCTGGGATATAATGCATGCAAGGAGCGTGCTATGTTCCCTTTCCATAAAAGAAGGTCCAACAAGCTTCACTGAAGAATCCAGACATCCATACGGTTAAGGAAGCAATCTAGGGCTTTGTGTAAAATAATTTGATTGCATGTATGTCCATTGGCCTTGTAGCAAAAATTTACTACGATTAATGTCTACTTTGAGAAGAACACATCCTGGAAATGACCAGCAAAGGAGACAAGATATAAGTAATAGATATAGATTCTGTATAGCTAATAGTTTCAAGTAGGGTATTATCAGGGCTGGATTAAGGCTGGATTAAGGCCCTAAACACAGCCCAACAATAATGCCCCTCAACAGAAGCAAACTTCTCATGCCATGAGACAGAAACAAATGTGATATCTGACAACACCTTCAGACCAAACTTTTAAACTAAAGTCACTCTCCATGCCAAAGAAAACACTTTTTTAACAATGCAGATTAAAGCTGAACATGGCAGATAAGGACAATTACAAAACAATGGACCCAAGTTAAGTATGGCAGTGAAAGAGTTAAGGGCATGAGAGCTGGGGAAAAACCCTGTGGTGCCCTCCTTCCCTTAGTGTCCTAAGCACTCACTTACGTTGCTTAATGGTTAATCCAGAGCTGGCTACCAGGTTTACACTGCAGAAATCCAGATGACTACTAGATGGCAGCAGAGAGTTATATCTAATGGTTTTTGGATGTTTGCAGACCAGGTATCTTAAATGCAAAGTACAATCCTTAAAAATTGAAGCATCAAGTGTAGGGAATCTCTTCTTCCACAGATTTTTCCATCTGACCTGCATGGCCTTAACCAACTTCCTTTACGTAGCTGTGCTCCTCTGTTCCCTTCCTCTTCTACTCAGAAAAGGTAAAAACAGAGAGGAAAGCTGGGTAGCAAGAAATATTTTGAAGCTGAGCTTTCCAGGACTTGAACCAAACCTTGAGTTACCCAGGAAGGAAAAGATAAATAACAGAATAAGCTTTCAACAGGAGGTAGTTTTCAAAGTACTCCAAGTATTTTGAGCATCTATCTCCATCTTTATTTACAAGTCACTGGTAGATGTGGGATGGATGGTCCCACTACCAATGGATTCACAGTTGCCGTATATGTATGGCAGTATGACAACCATACCCAGCATGTGGTCCTTAGGGGCTATGTTGCATGACTTAGATGAAGGAATAGAAGACATGCTCATAAATTTGCAGATGACACAAAGCTAAGGGGGGTGCTAACACCCCAGAAGCCAGGCTCAAGATTCAAAAAGATCCTGATAGACTTGAACATTGGGCCTTATCCAACACAATGTTGTTCAGTGAGAAATGTAAAGTTATGCACGTGATGCACAGGTTAAGATAGGCAGGACCTGGCTTAGCAGTAGTACGTGCATGAAGGATCTGGGTCTCTTGGTAGACCACAGATTACACATGAGCCAGCAACGTGCCATAGATGCCAAAAGAGCTCATGCATCCACAGAGGTATAGTGTCAGGATCGCAGGAAGTGAGAGCTCTGCTCTATGCTGCTTTTGGTCAGACCACAACTAGAATACTGTGTCCAGTTTTGATCACAATACAACAAGGATGGTGAGGAATGGAAAGAATGCAGAGAAGAGTGACAAAGATGGTAAGGGGCTCAAAGGCTAAACCCTAGGAAGAGCAGTTAAAGGAACTTGGTATGTTTAGCTTAAAGAAGAGAAGGCAAGGGGAGACATGATAGCCGTCTTCCAATCCATGAAGGTCACAGGGTAGAGGGTGTGGATTTATTCTTCAGAGCAACTGAAGGTAAGACAAGAACCAATGGGTGGAAGCTTTACAGAGGGAGATCCGTACTTGAAATAAGGAGGAATTTCCTGACTGTGAGAGCTATTAAGCAGTGGAACAGCCCGCCTCCTGAAGTTGTGGGTGCTTCATCACTGGAGCTGTCGAGAAAAGATTGGAGAACCATTTATCTGGGATAGTTTGAGGATTCCTGCAGTAGGAAGAGGGTTGGGCTAGATGACCTCCAAAGTACTTTCCAACCCTATGATTCTAAGCCTGTTTCTAGATTTCAAAAGCGTTATTATTTCTTAAAAATAAACATGATGGGTAGCTGCTACAAGTATATCTACCTTCACAAAAGAAAAGTCCCTATCTTTAAAAAGCAGGAGAAGCAGCATCTGATAAACTACAAGATAGACACTCTGACATCAATACCTTGCAAGACTCTGCTACAGAAGATCCATCTCTCAGGACCTTAAAATCAAGGGAGAAATTATCAATAGTCAGGAACAAATTTTGCCAGATCAATGTTCTCATGCTTTGAGCCAGTACCTTCTTTAGATTGTGTGATGAAATCAACAAAATATATATTGATTTCAGGAAAGCATTTGACAGTGTACCTCGTGACATTGATTAGCAATCTAGCTAAATGTAGGCTGGATAGCATAACAATTAACCTAGCTTGAAAATCATATTTAAAGAGTGCTGCTCAATGGATCCTCATCAGACTGGAGAAAACATCAAGTGGGTGGCACAAGGTTCACTTCTGCATCCTGTACTCTTCAAAGTTTATGTTGATGAAGAGGTAGAGAATTTATGTTGATGAAGAGATAGAGAGTATGGATATCAAACTTGTAGATGTCACAACACCGAGCACTATAGGGTGACCACATTAAAGTGCTTTCCTCTAGTTCTTGGAGCAGCTGAAAAGTATGCTGACATACCGTACATTGTCCTTATTACTAAACCTTATTCTGCCTCCATAACAAGGCCAGGGAGTGGTGTTGCCCTTATAGTTTGTAATGTGGGACAAGATCAAGGATAGCAATTGGCATATTCTTCTGGCTTCATCTGCTCTGTAACTAAACATCGCCAACTGGTGGGAAAGCATCCATCAACTGTTCTCCTGACCTGGGGCTGGAAAGGAGACAAGGGATGACAGATGCCTAGACTAGCAGGTTTAGCCACTGTCAAAACCTGTTCTGCTTCTCCACAAGTGTTCGGTACAGGTACATTCAAAGGGCAGGGTTAGTGCCATTCTGGAATTTCACAATTATGCAATAGTGGTAAGCCTGCATGCAAAAATAGCTTGAGGCAACACTCCCTTTGAATGCACCAGTGCAAAACCTTATACTATATTATAACCCTAACACCTTGCTTTTTATGTGTATATCATGTTTGTGGAGGTTAATGAGGCAGTTGCCCTCCAGGGCTGGAGGGTGGCAGAAGAATCTGGGATAGCAAGGGAAAGAGGGGGGAGCCAACTACCTACCCATTGAACTTGGCAAGAAGAACTTTGTTTTCTGTCTGTTCTCTCTTTTCTCTGACCAGGCTAAATGGAAGTCTGGTCAATTTCTAAATTGAGATTCCTAGTGCCACCTTGTACTTCACATGGGAGATCCACTTTCTAACGTGCTGACATGAACAGGCTCAAAGTCCCTCTCAGGATCCTCAGAATATTAATTTGAATTAAGATTTCAATCAGCTGCTGAAGAGAAAGGGGGGGGGGGGTTGTGTTGAAGCAGGCACACTTCTTTTCAAAACTGCCTTGCCTCTGAAACAGACAAATTGCTCACTCTAAAAGGCCAGTTTTAGCACCGGAAAAATAAATAGCATCCAAAAGAGTAACCACTATTTGAAACTGAGCTATTTGGTTCCACCTATGCCATTGCACATTTAACTTTTACCACTGTCATCCAAGTAGGGCTTATTCAGAAGCGAGCCCCTTTAAATTCCATGGAAGATGGGTTTCAGCAGTAGAAACATACTGCAGGATTATAATATGGACAGGCAAACTTTCCCATGTATAGAGAGTCACAGAGGTAGCCTTGGAGAAAATCTGCAGAAACGGTGATAAAAATAAAAACATGCTTGAAGCCTGAAAAAGAGAG